GGCGGGGTGCAGGGCGTCGGGGGGCCGTTGTCCTGGTGGGGGGAAAGGACGGCGGTTCGAACCGGGAGCTCTATCACTGGTGAGTCGGTGAAGTTCATGCCTCCCAATTCTCTGGTCCCTAATTGTTACTTTGTGTTTTTCTTGTTGCTACTTGCTCGTATTTTGCTTTTATTAATGTTAAATTACTTTTTTTCCTTTTCTATTTTTAAGGAAAATAAAACAACATTAACAAATATAAATTGGCTTGGAAAATTTTAATATTTGATTCTAATATAAGTTATTAATTGGCTGGTCAATTTCTTTTTATATAAATCTCTTGTGAAAGGCTAAACTATTAAAATTCTGCAATTATATGTACTAAAATTTGTTTATTCGTCAATTAGTTTTAATTTAGTGTTATTTCTCTTTTTGAGAGAGATTTTAAGTTCGAATTTACAAACTTTTATTACCTACGGCACAATGTAACTCAATTTTTTTTTTTTTCCCTTGACCAAGAGTATGATGAGCTAGCTCTTTCAATTTCAATGATAAACTCTCTAAAATGACACAAATGCAAAGCTAATTTGTAAGGATCTTTCGTATCTCAAAAAAGAAAAACAAGTAAACTAGAAGAATAGGCTTTAGAAGTTGAAAGTTGATGGTGTCCATAGGAGAGACTTTAAAGAGGGCTGGCCCAAGCTCAGGGCGAGCATGGCTGGAGCTTGGAGTTGCTAGAATATTTGGCTGACTCGTCATGATTCATGGGCAAAATGAGTATAAGAAAAATAAAACATGGCTAAAAGTCATTCTTAGTCCATGTAATTTACATAATTCTCACTTTTCATCCATATAGTTTTAATTTGGTCAATTATACCTTTATAGTTTCGTAATTGTAGCAATTCAAAGACAAATGCGAATTCCGTCAAATTCTTTAATGGGATCAGGGGTATTTTCATCAACTTTTGATTTTGACTTTAGGGTTTGTTGATTAATGAATTGAGAATTAGATTGGGAATGCTTTGATTATTATTCGCCACTTTGGTCACTTTGGAATTTCATTTCAATAACAAATCAATTGCCTGTTTCTTGTTCACGATTAAAAAAAATATTTAAATCTCAGTTTCAATTTTTTTTATAAATTGAATAGACAGAAATACCCCTGATGTCGTGAAAGAAATTGATGAAATTCGTGACTTGTCCTTGAATTGCTACAATTATGAAACTATAAGGGCACAATTGACCGAATTAAAACTATAAAGACGAAAAGTGAAAAATAGATAAACTACAGAGATCAAAAGTGACATTAGCTATAAAACGTACCCTTAAATATTTGGGTGACTCATCATTGCAATATAGAGAAGTAAAAGTACTTAGCCAAAAAGACAAGATTGACCAAGAAAAGAAGACCTGGAATACTCATAAAGAAACTAATTTGTTATAAACAATAAAATTATCTATTGCATAATGCAAATATTACAATTAAAAAAATGATCCACATCAGGGTTATTAAATCAGACCTATTCATAGAATGTTTTGTTTCAATCTAATCAATTCATTATTTACAAGCTCTGACCAGTCACGCTGAAAAGAGGTCAAACATGCATATCAAGGAAGGAGCAACCGAAAAAACCCGAAACTTTCCAAGTAATTCTACAGCAATATCCAAACCAGTTTCTTCTTTGTTGCAGTCCTCCTTCCATCCCAACCACGCAAAAGAAATATTTGAGCAGTCCAAGGAAAATTATTTTGATTTGAATTGGTAAGAAACCAACTGCTGATTAAGGCACTTTAAAATATTAAACTCTCCGTACACTCTCTGCTCTATTTTAGACGCAACAATTTGATCTGCAACCTTACCAGCAAATTAGAAATGGTTGTCCTTCTTCTTCTCTTGTTTCTATTAGCCCCTTGTGCAACCTCATTAAACTTCAGTTTCCCCAACTTCACAAATGATGACATCACCACCCTATCTCTCGAGGGAAATGCTTACGTCGATGGTGAATTCCTCCGACTCACCAATAGCGCTGTTGACAACGTAAAAAACGATAGCGTCGGCCGAGCCACCTACAGACAACCCTTCCTCCTCCGCGACAACACCACGGGAAAACTCGCGGACTTCACCACAACTTTCACATTCGCCATCGACTCGCAAGGCAAAACATTCTATGCAGACGGGCTCGCCTTCTTTTTGGCGCCAAACGGGTCTGCACTCAACACAACAATGGGCAGAGGCGGCTCTCTTGGCCTCCCCATCAAACACCTAGGAGCAAACGAGTCCACGAATCTGTACCCGTTTGTGGCAGTGGAGTTTGACATCTTTCAGAATACAGGGGCTAGTATTGGAGATCCCAGGGGCGATCATGTTGGTATTGATGTCAACTCTGTCAAGTCTAAAGTTACCAGGGCGTGGAATGGTAGCATTACGAAGGGACGAGTCAATAGTGCTTCGATTCGTTATGATTCTGGATCGAAAAATCTTAGCATTACCTTCACTAATTATGAAAATGGTGTCTCGGTTGAGAGGTATCTTGATTACAAGGTTGATCTGAATGAGATTTTGCAGGGTTGGGTGATTGTTGGGTTCTCTGCTGCAACAGGTATTACAACTGCTCTGCACAAGATCAACTCATGGAGTTTCAATTCGACATCGCTGAATGACAACACACCAGCAGCTCCTGAGCCAACCCTCATTGTTGAACCCAAGTCAGGAAATGGCATCAACATTGGACTTGTGGTTGGGCTGGTGATGAGAATGCAAATAACAACACACCAGTAGCTCCTGAGCCGACCCCCATTGTTGAACCCGGGTCAGGAAATGGCATCAACATTGGACTTGTGGTTGGGCTGGTTGGTGGTGGGTGTGTTCTTTTGGTTGGTGGGTTTTGTTTGGTTTGGTTCATTTTTTGGAAGAAGGAGGGAACAGGGGAAAGTAGCGACAATGATGAAGATCCGATTGATGAGGAATTCAAAAAGGGGACAGGCCCGAAGAAGTTTTCGTACAAGATATTGGCTCAATCGACAAATGATTTTGACGAGGGAGAGAAGCTTGGAGAGGGAGGGTTTGGTGGGGTTTACAGAGGCTTCGTAAAAGATTTGAACTCATATGTTGCTGTTAAGAGGGTATCAAGTGGGTCTAGACAGGGGCTGAAGGAGTACGCAGCAGAAGTAAGGATCATCAGTCGACTTAGGCATCGAAATCTGGTGCAACTCATTGGTTGGTGCCATGAAAAACAAGAACTCATGCTTGTCTATGATTTCATGCCCAACGGCAGTTTAGATTCTCATCTTTTCAAAGAAAAAGGCTTGTTAACTTGGCAGATAAGATACAGTATTGCTCAAGGTTTGGCCTCTGGGTTATTTTATCTACATGAAGAATGGGAACAGTGTGTGCTGCACAGGGATATCAAGTCCAGCAACGTTATGTTGGATTCAAATTTCAATGCGAAACTTGGGGATTTCGGGTTAGCTCGACTTGTGGACCACGGAAAACAGTCACAAACAACAATTGTGGCTGGAACCAGGGGATACATGGCTCTGGAATACGTTACCACAGGAAAGGCTAGCAAGGAATCCGATATCTACAGCTTTGGAGTTGTTGCTTTGGAAATTGCTTGCGGGAGGAAACCCATCGATCTCAGTTTAGAAAGTAGCCAAATCGAGATGGTGGAGTGGGTGTGGGAGCTTTATGGAGAAGGCACACTTATTCAAGCAGCCGATCCAAAACTTTGTGGACATTTTGATGAGAAACAAATGGAGTGCTTGATGATTGTTGGGTTGTGGTGTGCTCATCCGGATTATAAATTCAGACCTTCAATACAACAAGCGATCCAAGTGCTTAAGTTTGAAGTTCCATTGCCCATTCTCCCATCCAAGATGCCAGTGGCCACCTATTTTGCTCCTCCAACATCACTCTCTACGGTGACCACTGACAATACTAGTTCTGAAAGAGGTCAAACTGAGTCTCACAACACGGTTATAACACCGATTCCTCACAATTCACTTCATCTTCTACAACAAAATTCATCTCCATCAACAACATTTCAGTCTCCACAATAAGTCTAAGTTAATAATTGTGATAAACTGTATTAAAATCTTTTGGAATTTATCTTTCAATTGTATGCAAGTGTTAATATCACCCGCCCAGTCAGAATCGCTATAAGCAGATAAGAGAAAGGGACCTGAAGCAGAATAAGTAAAACCATACCTGAGTGTGCCCTGTAGATAACGCAGAATGCGTTTCACCAAGAAGAAATGATGCTTGGTAGGATTATTCATGAATTGACCGACCATATTAACAAAATGGGCAATGTCGGGCCTTGTAGATTTTTGGACTGTGTTTATGAAAGATGAAAATTGGGAGAAAAAGGGCAGAGATAGTGGGTTGTTGGCTCGTTTTGGGGGATAGGTTTTTTATTTTTTTTATTTTTTTATTTTCTGGTTTATTCTTAACAGGTCGTGTTTGGGTTTAGTATTTCTCACCCATTAGCTTAACAGGTCGTGTCGTGTCAACCCATTAAATTAACGGGTTAACACGAACACGACCCGAAACCCGTTTGCCAAGTCTAGCAGAAATTGGATTTATCACTATCCATGTTAAGGGTAATGATTAAAATATCGATCTCGAGTATTAAGAACCTGAAAAACCATTTGAGTTCCAAAAACCTGAAAAAGTTTCACTTGCTTATTAAATCTACACTAGTTTGTCTACTTCGAGAAAGCAAGAGAGTGAAATTTGTTTGTACAAATGATAATAATTGCATATATTGGTATGCAACCAATATATGCAATTGCATATCCTGGTTTACAAAAGTCATTAAAAATGAATTTTATTCAAGTTTAGGCTCAAAAGAGACTGCGCAATTGCACGTCCCATGATATACAAAAACTAGATAGCGGTGTACAATTACCCTTTCCTTCATCTGTTTTATTTGCAATCAATCAACAACCAACATAACCAAAGGGGCATTGGTTAATTTATGTTAATTCACTTCTGCAAAGCTTCATAACTGATTCAGTAGCAAACCTAATAATGAAATAAATATATTAAAAAATAAATTGAAAATTGAAATTGCAAACTAATTAAAATAAATATAATTACATACAACTTGCAAATCTATCCACTGTAACCTGATATTTAAATCACAAATAAATTACATTTAAAACTAAAAATACTCAAAATGAACTAAGTTATCTAGCACTTAGAAGATCACGAGCAACACGATGTAAGAAAACCTTTCTTTCGTTCTCCACGATCTTGACCTTAAACACAAGCAAAACAGAAAGAAAATAACTTTGTTAAAAGGCCTTGGGTTTTCGTTTATGCAATTAAAAAAGAGGCTTAATCAAATACACCAAAAATTTGACCAACAAAAGCTCTATATTTTGACTACCTAATAAATTTTTGTTCACACAACAGACCCCCATCTTCCCTTTCAAGTTCTTAAAGTTGAGTTTAAACATATCAGCACCCTTCAAGTATTTGGAATTCAAGCAAACACATACCAACATAAATGATCTCCAGGTTTCTACATGGCATATTTTAAGAGACTGAAACGAGTGCTTCATACCAGGCACTAATGCTTGCAATACAGGCTTCAGATAACCAACAAATTACTGAAACATCGACTTGCTTGCCAAGTCCTGTGTGAAGTGAAGTTCCCACCACAATTAAATCATACACAATAAGAGGCCTCATGGGTATTTATATATACAATCAGATCAAGAGGCACTATAACAACCCAGCAGAAATGCACAGTGGGAAAAGAAATACAAAATGTGAATAATTATTAATTAGTAAATTTAGGTTTTAGCTATAAAAAAAAAATTCACTTTTGGAAAAAGCCAAAGCTTTTTAAAAAAAGACAGAAAAACCTCTCAACTTTCAAATCAAAGACATGCAAATGTAAAGGATTCCTTAGGAAATTCAAAAATAAATAAGGGCAATTTTGTCCATTTTGACTTCTTTTACAAAATTTCTCTCTCCTTTGTTCAGTGAAAAAACTGAAACAACAATTCAAAATCACTAGTGATTAGCAATTTACAGCACCAAAAATCACCTCACTCATCATATAAACATGATAACAAAATCCTTGATTTAATTACCAAAAAAGAAAAAATGAAAGCTGGTTGGCTGACTTAATAGAGATTACTTACTAACAATCATAACAGAAAATAAAAATATATGCAGCAAAATTGGAGTTGTCTATCTTTTGGCACAAAAAGGGAAGACAAATCGATGTTTACTTAAAGCAGCAAGTTACTGAAAAGCAAAAAGAGAGCAGTTCGTTAAGTGCATAACTTTAATTTTCTAACTTCTTTAATCAACTGCACAATAATCTACCAAATTCTCATTTATAGCCAAAATTGTAAATCACATATTAAATTTTAACAGGAACAAATAAATGGCAAAACCCAAAATTTCATTTACAGCCACACAGTTCATAATTCACACAAAAGAAGAATAAATTAAATAGAACCATCAATTACACATAACGAAAATCAACACACGAACTTACCGAGATGGAGGAAGCAGCTGGAGAAGACGGAGTGGGTTTCTGCGTTTTGGCTGAAATCTGCTCCTCAGATGGAGAAGACGAAGTGGGGGGAGCTTCTTCAGGCTGTAGAAAGCTGCGCAGCTGTGACTTCAACGAAATAGAGCTGTGGCTGTGCAAAGCTATGGAGGAGAGAGACGAAATCGAGTACGCATCCTAGGTTTTGAAGGAGCGTGATTTTTTTTCCTTATTTTAACCGGTTAACCAAAACAACCAGTTTCAATTGTTTTTAAAAAAGCCCACGCGACTCGGCTGTACCATACAGCCGAGGCACCACAGAAGGACTCCCTTCTTCCATCCCAACATGAACCTCACCCCGTCAACCACGCAAAATAAATATTTAAGCAAAGAATATATAGATATCGCACAAGGAGGAGAGTATTTGTTTCCCAAGTAGTTTCTATGGCCAACCAACTTTTTGGGGTCTATTTTCAGATTGTAATTCAATGACCCAAACTATTTATTTTTCAAAACTATCCTTAATAAGATCATTCTAATTTGAATTATTTTTTGTGAAGATAATCCTTGAATAAATACTCTTTTTTTTCTTTTTCTTTTTTATACAAGTGGACTGAGAAAGTTGGTCGACCTGGGTTTTGAAATTGAACATGAAAAAAAGTTCCTAGAAGAAACAAAGGCTGAAAATCCTGGTGTCCCTAGTTTCGGAACATTTTCGCATAGAGGTCAGTTGACCAGGTCTAAGTCCTCTAGCTGAAAATCTTGTTTTTAATTGGAAAATTAGCTCTGCAATCTGCTCTATTTTAGTAGAGCTCCAAACTCTTTTCCCCGTAAACAAAAATGGCTGCCATCACCACACTGCACTCTCCAAAGTTCTTTCTTGTTCTGCTCCTGTTAATCCCTTGTGCAACTCCTTTAGCCGTCCATTTCCCCACCTTCCAACAAAGTGATCACACCAGCAGCACTACGAAATTATTAAATAACAAAGGAGATGCTAGCAGTATCGGCCGCCCTGTCAACAGCACAATGGAAAACATCATTGAGCCGCGCAATGAGTACCCATCCGTGGCGGTGGAGTCTGATATCTACCGGAATCCATGGCCAGCTGTGGAGGATTCTGAAGGCAATCATGTGGGTATCGACGTCGACAGTGTCAAGTCGAATGTTACCAGGACCAGGCCTAGGAATGCTGTTACTGCAGAAGGAAAACTAAATCATGCTTGGATTAGTTATAATTCTAGGTCCAAAAATCTTAGTGTTGCCTTCACTACTTATGTAAATGGTACCCAGGAACAAGTGATCAATTCTCTCAGTTACATGGTTGATCTAAATAAATACTTGCCGGATTGGATTAGGCTTCTATGCTTCAACAGGAGCTGCTTCTGCTCTGCATAACATCATCTCATGGAATTTTACTTCTTCACTAGGTGATGATGAATCTCTAGCTTTTCCTGGCCAAAGAAAAAAGAAAAAGAATCTCCAGTTATGGATCTAAAACCAACTCAAGAAAATGCAAGAAACCACTGGTGGTTGAGTACTACTATTGGTGGTGGTGGTGGAGGTGGACTTATCTTGGTTTGGGTGTTAGGTTTGGGTTTGTTCAAGTCGTGCAAGAAAAGGGCACCAGAAGGAAGGGCTGCTAAAAATCTTATGATTCCTCATGACATGATTGAGCAATTGGAAAAGAAGATCCGCCGCCCAAGGCAGTTTTTGTACAAAGAATTGGATTCCGCCACCAGACATTTTTCTGAGGGAGAAAAACTTGGAGAGGGAGAATTTGGTGTGGTTTACAAGGGCTACCTAAAAGATTTGAACTCTTACATTGCTGTTAAGAAGATCTCAAAACCGGAGCTCAAGGAAGTCGTGTCAGAAGTAAGCGCCATCAGTCGACTTAGGCATCGGAATCTGATACAACTCATTGGTTGGTGCCACGATGAAGGAGAGCTCCTACTTGTCTATGAGTTCATGCCCAACGGCAGATTAGATTCTCATTTGTTCCAAGGAAAAAGCCGGTTAGTTTGGGAGATAAGATACAGAATTGCTCAAGGCTTGGCCTCTGGGTTGCTCTATCTACACCAAGAATTGGAACAATGTGTCCTGCACAGGGATATCAATTCCGGAAATGTTAAATTGGATTCAAATTTCAACGCCAAACTGGGGGGTTTCAGGTTTGCTAGGCTTGTAGACTATGGAGAACAACTGGAGGAGATGACTATGGTTGGAACCTATGGCTACATGGCTACTGAATATTTGATGACAGGAAAAGCTAGCAAGGAGTCAGATATCTATAGCTTTGGAGTTGTTGCTCTGGAAATACCCTGCGGAAAGAGAGTTTTTGATGTGTTGGAAAGTGGTAAACCTAATATGGTAGAGTGGGTTCGGGAGCTTTATGGAGAAGGTAAAGTCATTGAAGCAGCTGACCCAAAATTTTGTGGAGATTTTGATGAGAAACAAATGGAGTGTTTATTGATTGTTGGGTTGTGGTGTGCTCATCCAAATTACAATTCCAGACCTTCAATACAGCGAGTGATTCAAACGCTTAACTTTGAAGTTGCACTGCCCATTCAACCATCAAAGATGCGAACTACTACTTCTCCTCTTACAATATCAGTTTCAGGTTCGTCTTCTAGTATTGGCTCTGAAGGAGGGCAAGTTGATGACTCTGGCCCTGATTATACCACCAATTGCTCAGAGATCACTGAATCTTCTGCAACAAATTATCCTCCATCAATTTCGCTCGGCTAAGAAATAAGTTCCGCTTGTGATAATCTCGAATGCTACGTTGATGAAACCCATGATTATACACGTAGGTTATTAATTAGTAAAAACTGATCTAGAAGAAGCATTAGGTTGGTGCTAATGGTTTTGGCTCTCTGCATTTCACCGATTGCCATATTTTCTGTCTGTAAGTCAGATCCTCTGTTTCTTTCACACACACACATGACACGAATGTCTTCTCAAGCCACCACCATATGAATAATAAGCTTCAGTTCTGTTTTTTTTTCAATCATTTCAATTATGAAACCCTTGTGTATTATGTGTTGTGTGAAGTACTGGTGAAATTTGATTTGATCATTTCGTAAGCAAATTTACAAGTAGTGAGCCAAAAAGACACAAATTAATTTAGTATTAAAGCAGCATAACAAACAGCACAAACATTGACAAACTTTTAACACAAAAAACCAAAAGAAGAAACTCCAAAATCTAAGACCAAAAACCTGCATTCACAGAGAGTCGGGAGCAGCATCCTGAGTCAGCCCTCCTTTTTGTTTCTTGCGCAAGACAAACACATCAGCCTCTTCGTACGCATAATCCGGGTGCAAATCCTGGTGCGGAACTTTCTCTATCACAAAAACCCTCTCACACATTTCCCAGAACAGTTGGTGTGCTTCCGGAGACCTCAGCTGGTACCCGAGCAAAACGACGCCGTCGTCCTTCACCAGCGCCTCCATGGTGGACACGAGCGGGCCCACAGTCTCCTCTATGTAAACGACGTCCGTCGCCACGACGACGTCGTATGGAGGGTGCTAAAATATGAAAACTATAAGAGAATATTTGTTTGTGGGAATTTTCTATGTATTCTTCTCCTTGTAGGAGGTCATATTTATAATACAACAAAACCTGAATGGGCAAGTAAATAATAAATTCCTAAATCTATTTACAGTAGGAAATCAGGAATTAAAGTAAATCAATTACAAATAAAATAGGAATCCTTGGTGTGTAAGGAAAGTAAGTCAATATCCACAAGTCACGCCAACACTCCCCCTCACGTTGGTGCATAGATGTCGCCAATGCCCAACTGATCCAGTGAATTGTGGAATGCTTTACTGGAAATCGCCTTTGTCAAAATATCCGCCAATTGATCCTCGGATTTCACAAAAGGAAACTGAAACACTTTAGCCTCAAGCTTCTGTTTGATGAAGTGTCGATCCACCTCAACATGTTTAGTACGATCATGCTGAACTGGATTCTGTGCAATGGCTATAGCAGCCTTGTTGTCACAAAAGAGATTCATTGTGGATGTAGGTTTATACCCAAGTTCAGTAAGCAACTTTCTTAACCAAAGAAGTTCACAAATCCCTTTAGTCATGCCTCTGAACTCGGCTTCTGCACTGGATAAAGCTACTACATTCTGTTTCTTGCTCCTCCATGTCACCAAATTACCTCCCACGAATGTGAAGTAACCCGATGTGGATTTTCTATCTGTTACATTACCTGCCCAATCTGCATATGAATAACCATCAATATTTAGATGACCATGCTTTGAGAACATAAGTCCTTTTCCAGGCGCAGACTTCAAATATCTAAGTATCCGAAGAACTGCATTCATGTGGTCTTCACTTGGAGAGTGCATAAATTGACTGACAACGCTCACTGCATAAGCAATGTCTGGTCGAGTATGTGACAAATAGATCAATCTTCCCACTAACCTTTGGTATCTTTCTTTGTTAGTTGGAACTTGATTCGGATATTCTCCAAGATGATGATTCTGAACAATAGGAGTGTCCGCAGGTTTGCAATCTAGCATTCCTGTGTCTGTCAACAAGTCCAAGACATATTTCCTTTGAGAGAGAAATATGCCTCGCTGCGATCGAGCCACCTCAATTCCCAAGAAATAC